TTAACTTTATTTCTATTCGAAATAATAGTGATATTTTACTTATAATATTTTATCGTTATAGAATTAACTTCGTAATTAAGTATAAAATTAAAGAAGATTATTTAATTTAAGTGGAGAATTACTCTTTAATAGCTAAGGTATTCGAAGATAAAAAGTTTATATTTAAGAAATTTATTAATTTTATTATATTGAAGTTAGTTATCGAAAAGATAATTATAGATTCTACTTTAGAAACGCGATTATCTAATAAAATTACTATCTATAAGAAATAGAAATATATTAATATAATATAAAGTATTTTAGAAGAAAACTTTTATATTTAAGAAGATTTTAATAATATTATTAATCTTTTTAAAGTAGAGTAGCTATAGATATTAATTATTATAAATTAATAATCTTTCTTAACGAAGTTAGAGAATAAGATTTATTTCTTAACTTTAGAAGATTATAAGTTTATCGATAAAAAGTTTAATAAGATATATATGTAAGATAAGATAAGCTGGTTTAAGAAACTAACTTTTTTTACTTTTTCTATTTTTATAATATATAAAATAGTTTATATTAGATTTAAGAAAATATCTAAGTAAAAGAAAAAGATTATTATTAATATTAGAGGTTTTAATAAGATTACGATTTTTAATAATTATTCTCTTTCTCTATAGAATAATATAATTATAATAATTTAAGAATATATTTTTATTAGTATAATTAATTATAATAAATAATTTTATCTTTTTTTAGTAAAAAAAGATTATCGATAACGATTTATTATAATATCTTATTAAAAATTAGAGTATTTTAATATAATAGTAATAGATTTTAAAAACTTTCTTTATTTATATTATTATTTTACTAGATACTATATAGATAATATTATTATCTTTTTTTAAAGCGTAGAAGATTATTTCGAGTATTTAAGAATAATCTTTTATCTCTTCGCGAAATTTAAAATTATTCTTAAATCTAAGAAATTCTATCTTAAATATTTATTAGTTATACTTCTAGAATAGAAAGTAAATAGATTTAATCTTATTACTATCGAGAAAAGAGTTATAGCGAATAAGGAAATATAGTTTCTTACTATTTTAAAAATACTCGAAATCTATATAGAAATAGCGAATTAGCTATAAAGAAATATTAGATACTTTATTTAGATTTCTAAACTACTATAACGTTTAAAAATAAAACTCTTAAAGCGATCTTTAGCCTCGGGCGATCGTTTTTATAGAAATTTCTCGAAGATTATAAAAGTAACCTCTATCGAAAAAGAAGTAGAGGCTTTTCGTATTTTATAGTAAATATTAATTACGAAAATTTATTTATATTATTATAATACTAGTTATTAATTTTATATTAATCTCGATAAATTTAAAAAATATAATTTCGAAGTTATAATATATTATATAATAGATAATTCTTAAGAAAGTTCTTTCTCTAAGATAAATATTTAATTTATTATATTTTTATTTAAACTTTTAAACGTTATAGAGTTATATTATTAGTTAATAAAATTAAAAGTAATTATCTTAATTTAAATTTTAAAAAAGATTTTTTATATATTTAGCTAAAGAACGAAAAAGAAGATTATTATTTTTATTAATTACTTTATTATTATTAATATTATTTATTAAATTATATTTTCTTCTTTATTCTCTAATTAAATAAATTTATAACTTATATATATTTTATAATACGCCTTTTAATTTAATCTAGATATTTAATAAAGACTTAATAAGTAAAATATAATTCTCGACGTTTTATTTAGATTACTTTATAAATAGAAAGAAAAATTCGACGTTTAAGATCTAGAAATTCTTAATAAGATTCTTATATATAATTTGATACTTATAAAAATATCTAAAAAAAATCGTATTAAACTTATATTTGACTATTAAGAGAATAAAAAATAATTAAAAATTCTTAATACTTTCGTCGCTTAAAAGGTATAGCTTCTTGAGAAATAAGAATCTAAGAAATACGTTAAACTCTCGAATATATAATTTCTACTTTAAGATAAAATTATCTATTATTAAGATAAGTTTAATAAGTAAAAATAGCTTTATATTTTAAAAAAGATAAAGTAGAAGATTTTCGAGCTTACTTATAATAATTATAATTATATTAATTTTTATAGATTATATTAGAGAATTATAAAGATTTACTATATAAGATATTTAACTCGACGCTTAAAGCGTTATATTATTTATTACTTAAAGTATTAGCTAAATTAGACTATAAGATATACTTTATATAAGAATCTTAAATCTATTATAACTTCTTCTTTAATTTTCTATATAATTACTATCAATTTTATTCTAATACTATTACTTTTAGAAAATAGATTTAATATAATAATAATTATTATTAATAAGTTTTTTAAAAGAAATATATTTATATCGAGAAAAGATATATAAAATACTATTAAATAAGCGAAAGTCTTACTTTTTATTCTCGCTAATTAAGAAATTTCTAAAGCTATTATTTTAGATAGAGATTTAAAATTTCTATTAAAGCTCTAAAAAGCTATTTTTAAGATCTTAGAAATAAAGCTTTTTATTTTTATTACTTATTATCTATAAATTAATAATTAATTTAAACGAACTAATTAGATAATAGAGATTACTTTAAAATTTTATATTTCTTATATTCTTAATAATTTTTAAAATAAATTCTTTATATATCTAAGAGATAGTTTTAATAACTCTATAAATATATTAATAGAAAAGACTCTTAATAAGATTATCTATAGTATAAAATTTAATAATAAATCTAATATAATAGATATCTTAGCTAAAAATTAGATAGATATTGTAAATAATTATACTCGATATTAATAGAAAGCTTTAGATATCTTAGCTTTCGCGATAGTTAATATAAAATTTAAATATAATTTAAAATATAAAGCTTTAATTATAGAGAAAGGGGATAAAGCTTTTATTAAGCTCTATAGAAAATATTATCTTTTTAGATTTAAGAATATAAAACTTTTAAATTAAAGAGTTAGATCTTTTATTATTCTTAAGTAAGTCGAAAACTTAATTTATAGATTTAATCTTTTAATTATTTAGAAGATTTACTTTATTATCTTAATTATAATACTTAAGCTTGTTACGAGCGTACCCTTGACACACCACTCAGCCCTATGGCTAGCGGGCCTTGGCGGAGGCATCTCCTACTATATCATGCCTCCTTCCCACCTACATAGTTCGGTAGCCTTATTATCCTATCTACCTCACCCATACTGATATCGCACCTATGCTGGTCCTGACATTATAATAAGGCTCCTTCGTATACCCGGCGAAGAGAAATGCAATCGAACACACTCCATTCGAATTAGCGGACGAATTCAAAGAAATGCGCTGGCAGGGGCTTTGGCAAGATACCAAGTTGAGCCATCGTATCCCTGGGTAAGCCCACCAGACGGGTAACTCGATTCCAAAGAGCCTCACGGGACAGCGGAACGGCCTCGCCAAAACAGTGGGCGAGGGATAAATAAGGCACTGGGACCATTCGTACGACTAGCGAATTGATAGTAGAAAGAAATCGTCACAAACACCCCCACACTCACAGTGAGCCTGCTACAATGGCAGCAAACGTACGACCTCTTCACTGAGCATGTCGACAACACACATAGTGAGCCTGCTACAATGGCGACGGGAACAGCCTCGAAACGACTACGATTCGACCTCTTCACTGAGCATATCGGCAACACACATAGTGAGCCTGCTACCAAATGGCATTCACCACATTCAATTCTTTCCCTACCTCCCTACCAAACCTACGAATCGACAAGCGCGGCTGAGTTGAGACAAAGGATGGAATGGAGGATGGATTTTTGATGGCAAGAGTATGGGAGACACAGGGCAAATCTACAGTGAAGCTCCCAGGCCAGGCTGCCAACTGGTGTTGAGGGGGTTTCATAACACATGCATGCGTTGGATTTTCTTCAATTCTACCGAAGGACTATGGCAAGGAGAAGAACTCGGGGAATCTTGCTGTCACGCAGGCAAGATATGGCCAATATCTCCAGGATCTCTGCAGGACAATACCACTACACCTCTGCAAATCGTCTCCGGTCGAGGCCTACACGGACTATGGATGTTTGGAGACACAGGGCAAGCAATGGGCGTGCATCTCCGGTTTACCAGCCATGGGGGCCATGGCTATTGAGAGGGGGGGGTAGTGTTACGAGCGTACCCTTGACACACCACTCAGCCCTATGGCTAGCGGGCCTTGGCGGAGGCATCCCCTACCATATCATACCTCCTTCCCACATACATAGTTCGGTAGCCTTATTATCCTCGTTCTACCTCACCCATACTGGTATCACACCTATGCTGGTCCTGACATTATAATAAGGCTCCTTCGTACACCCGGCGAAGAGAAACACATACGGGCCAATCAACGCACACTCACGTCTATTCGGATTAGCGGACGAATGGTTAATAAACAAACGCGCTGGCAAGGGCTTTGTCAAGATACTAACTTGAGACCAAGACACCACGACCGGTTGAGGTCAAGACAGGAACTTGAGGCATCGTATCCTTGGGTCAGCCCACCAAACGGGTAATTCGTTTCGGCATAACGGAACGGCCTCTGGACAGCAGGAGGGATAAAGCACCGCTGGACTATTCGTAGGATTAGCGAATCGAAAAGAACTCATCAAAACACCCCACAGTGAGCCTGCTACAAGGCGACGGGAACAGACCCGACAACACGATTACGATTCGACCTCTTCACTGAGCATGTCGACAACACACATAGTGAGCCTGCTACCAAATGGCATTCAACACATTCGATTCTTATCACCTACCTCCCTACCAAATCTCACGTTACGGAAGTCGCCTACGTCAGTCAGGTCGTTGGCTGCTGAGTACTCGCTATGGCAGCTTAGGACGGGTACATGGGACTGGCAGCTTAGGACGAGTAGGCCTACGGGGTACTGGCAGTCGAAGCGGGTATATGAGATCGGCAGTTGAAGCGGTAGGCTTATAAAGCGGATGGATGCGGTGGACGACTACGAAGCAAGAGACAAAGGATGGAGGATGGACTTGATGGCAAGAGCATGGGAGACACAAGGCAAATCTACAGTGAAGCTCCCAGGCCAGGCTGCCAACAGGTGTTGAGTGGGATTTATAACACATGCATGCGTTGGATTTTCTTCAGTTCTACCGATGGACTTGATGGCAAGAGCATGGGAGACGCAGGGCAAATCTACAGTGAAGCTCCCAGGCCAGGCTGCCAGTAGGTGTTGAAGGCGAAAAAAGTGGAGGACTATGGCAAGAAGACTGGACAAGGAGAAGAACTCGGAGAATCTTGCTGGCACGCAGGCAAGATATGGTCAACATCTCTAGGATCTCGGAGGGATAACGCAGTCAAGACCAGCATGCGATCCGGCAAAACCTCGGACATGGTGTTTTTGAACGAATTGAAACCATCCGATGTTTTTGACTGCTACCACTACACTTCGGCAAAATCCTCTCTGGTCGAGGCTTACACGGACTATGGATGTTTGGAGACACAGGGCAAGCAATGGGCGTGCATCTCCGGTCTACCAGCCATGGGGGCCATGGCTATTGAGAGGGGGGGGTAGTGTTACGAGCGTACCCTTGACACACCACTCAGCCCTATGGCTAGCGGGCCTTGGCGGAGGCATCTCCTACTATATCATGCCTCCTTCCCACCTACATAGTTCGGTAGCCTTATTATCCTATCTACCTCACCCATACTGGTATCGCACCTATGCTGGTCCTGACAAAGCTTATATCTAAAAAGAAAGATTCTTATTATTAATCTTATAAAAAAGAATAAACTTTTATATTCGATTATAAGAAGTTAGTAATTAAGAATTATTATAAAATTTAGAGATTAGTGAATTAATATATTAATCGATTTTTAAGTCGAGAAAGTAAATATAAAGAAGATATTATAGAGTATCTAGTAAAATAAAAAGACTAGAGAAAAATTTATAATATATAATATAAGATAAAAATTTTGAAAAACGTAAAGAATTTAATCTATAATTACGATTTAAAATATAAGAAATACTCGTAAAGAGAGTATTAAAAGAGGAAATCTTAGAACTCTATATAAGTCTATAGCGTAAAAATTATTTCTTATATTATTAATATATCGTTAAGCTAGATATTAAACGAAGTATAGTTTTTAGACTTTATTAAGTCGTTAAATTATAAATATAATTTACTTTATTAATTTATATTTTCTAATATATTATTATATAAAAGCTCGAATTCGAAAATTTCGAAAATCTCGGAAATCTCGGGAATTTCGAAAGACTTTATAACTTATAATTACGAAGTAAAGTAACTTAATTAGCCTCTTATTTCTTTTCTTTATCTTATTATATTTTCTTTTAACACTTTATAATTAAATATAACTCTACTTCTCGAGAAAAGATTTCTTATAATTCTAATAATTTAAAAGTTATCGCTAAAGAAGTAAAGCGTTAATAACTTTATCTGAGATTTAAAAAAGTAGAAATAACGAATTTTAAGATCTTAACGCTAATCCTTTAGAGCTAAATTAAATATATTTTTAAATAATTTAAATTCTTTTAATTAAGTTTTATAGATCTTAATAAAATAATTAATTATATTTAACTCGAAGTAAAAGAAGATTTATTTTTAAAATAATAAGATTATAGAAGTCTACTATAATATATTCTTAATCGTTTTTTTTAAATTTATCTAAATTACTTTTATAAATTTAGAAATTCTTAAATAAATACGCTTTATAATTAAAATCCTCATCGTCTCTATTTATAGCGAGATTTTTTTATATATCTATCGAATCTTTATTACGAAAATTTAAATAACTTTCTTAATTTCATAGCTTATTATTTAAGAATATCTTTTATTTTAAGATTTAAGCTAATCTTATATTAAATAAAGAGTCTATCTAAAAATAAAGACTATTATTAAAATAAGATTATTTTTATCGAGAAAATAATTAAAGATATTAATACTTCTCTTCGTTATATAAATCTTTTAAATATTTAAATCGCTAAGTGTCATGAGATGCCTCAGGGATACTCATAGGGCCACTAGCGTAGGCTTGGCACCGCACATATCTGCCCTGCAGACCACATAGATAATCAACATCTTTTACAACCACACACATATATGAGTTAAATCATAATGATTCCTTAACAATTGGTAGCAACACCTGGCCCTACTTCATAGGATATCCAGGCGTCATCAGACGTTTACGCAAAGCCCACATCAACACCTAATAGTGTGACGCTCCAAGCCGGACCTCCAACACACTCGCAGTCATCGAGTACCTTTTGACAAACACCCACGTCACAATCGATCCTTTTGATAGGCCCGTCGATATCATCATGTCTCATCCTACCCCGCTCACCTCGCTTCAGGAACAAATGACACAAATGATGGAAATGATAAGATCCATGTGTATAAGACTGGAAGCATTGGAAGCTCGATCTAGGCCAGCTCAGCAATCCACTCAGTCAGCCACTCAGCCAGCTACTCAGCAAGTCACTCAGCCACCTCACCAATCCACTCAGTCAGCCACTCAGCTAGCCACTCAGTCTGATACTCTACAAGAGGAGGAGCAAGAGGAGGAACTACAACAGGCAAATGCGGAGAACACTGCGGAGAAACCAAGCGGCAACAAGGCCACCATCGTCAAGAACACGGCTCACGTCTCCACAATCCCACGTCAAGTCATCACTCAGCAAATGGAGAATACCACTACAATCTGGCCTGCTATCTCTGCATGCCTGGGCAATATCACATTGTGGTACATCACTGCAATGAGCACACAAGAGAAGGATCTACTGCGTCGATCACAGCCAATTGGACCTCTGCAGGCAAGGGTCACCTATCGGACGATGCATATTTGGACGAATTGAAACCGTCCGATGTCTTGTTTCGATAGCTATTTCATTATTCGAAAGCTTTCACTGCGGCAGGAGAACTCGTGGGATGCACACCACTAATTAGCCTGGTGTCTCCATTCCTTTCCGGTTTTTCGAAAAGAACCATGCATGCATACTTCTTGCCATGAGGACATGGCATTTCTCTGTTTTTTGTGGGCAATTGTCATGAGATGCCTCAGGGATACTCATAGGGCCACTAGCGTAGGCTTGGCACCGCACATATCTGCCCTGCAGACCACATAGATAATCAACATCTTTTACAACCACACACATATATGAGTTAAATCATAATGATTTCTTAACACTAAGATAATAAAAACGCGAAGCTTTATTAGATCTTAGCGATATTAATATTAATCTTAAATATTCGCGAGTAAATATTTATATTAGAATTATATTATAAAAGATTAATTAATAAAGATAAATATAAAAAATAATAATAGAATTAAATAATATTATAAGGTTATATTCGAGATTTAATAATTATATAAAAATAAAGAAAAAGAACGCGACTATTTTTAAGATATTAATATTTATATTAACGTCGCGAAGTATAATAATTATAATCTTTACTAAGATTATCTCTACTTTATTTAAAATTCTAAATATAATTTTAAGAAGATAAAAAAAGCTATTATGAAGAAAGTAGATTCCTTAAAGAAGTTTAAAAATATCTTATTAGAGATTAAGAAATAAATAATATTATCGTTAAACGCTAATTTAAAACGACTTAAGAAAAATAAAATTATTTATAAAACTAGGTCTACGATAGAGAATATTATAATCGAAGTTAAATTCTTAAAAAAAATCGCTAAGAAGTCGAACTCTAAAAAGTTAGAATCTAAAAATTTAAATAATAAGATAATAATTAAGAAAAAACCGATTTATTAATTATTTATCTTTGAGAATTTAAATTTAGAGTTAAAAGTTAAGAAAGTAGATACTTATAATAATTATATATATATAAAGAAGAAGATTAGCTTATTAAAAAATACTCTTTTAAGAATATAAGAAAAGCTAATAATAATTTTAATGGCGATAAAAAGAATTTATAGAATAATTACTTTATTCTTAATATAATATAAAAGTATAATAAAACTTATTAAAGACGCTATGAAACTTTTATCTTTTTTAAATTAAAATTATAAATAAATTAAAGATAGAAAAGTTGATATTAAGAGTATTAAAAAATATTAGAGTATTAATAAGCTATTATTAAATAAGATTCTCGATATCTTAAATAAAGCGTAAGAGATCTTTATTAAGAAATATCTAAATCTAGTAATTTTAATATTTATTTATAACGATAATAAAAAGCCTTTCGTAGAGTTCGAAGAGTAAAAGAAAAGATTTTTAGTTTCTAATTTTTTAACTAAAGAAAGCGCTTAACCGAAGAAAAAGATTATATATCTTTATATCTAAATCTTTATAAGATAAGAAATATAGATCTTATTAAGATACCTTTATATTAGATTTATCGCGATACTTTTATATCTCTTAAGAAAAGTATATATCTTTCTTTCTCTATCTTAGATCTAGTACTCTTTATATTCGTTTATAATAACGATAAAAAGCCTTTTATAGAGTTTAAAGAATAGAAGAAAGAATCTTAGATTCGATTAAGTCTTACTACGATACTTTTACGTCTCTTAAGAAAAGTATATATCTTTCTTTAGAACCCGTATACCTTTTTTCTATATCTTTATATTTAAAACTTTATAAGATTTCTCTTATACACTTTATATTTAAATCTTTACGAGATAAAAAAAAGCTTAAAGATAATATAGCTTTTTATAAGGAAGAATAATTATTATATTCTCGATATAGTATAAGAAATCTTATTAGCGTAACTCCTTACTAGCGTAACTTAATATATCGCTTTTTTTTCTTTCTTTAAGAACGTTTATAGCTAAATTCTAATTAATTAATTAATTATAATTAGAACTAAGAAACATCTTTTACTTCTTTATGAAACTTCTTTCTAGAAGTATATATATACTTCTTATATAGTATTTCTAATAAATTTACTATTAATAAAGCGAAGTAGCATTTATATATAGTTATACGAAACGCGTTCAAAATCGAATAATTCTTTCACCTATTTATATAACTATTATTCTTCTATTATTCTATTAATTTATTAATATAAATATATTTATTCTCGATACCCCTCGCGGAAATGTTATTAAACGCTTTAGATATATATATCTCTTTTATTCGCCTCTTAGAGCCCCTACTAACGTCTCTAGACTATCTCTTAGCGAATTCGCTACTACTAGTAATTAAGATTATAACGAGACTTAATAGCTATCTACTAGAGAGTAGAAGTAAAAGAAGAAACTATAATAAATAAATGCGGAGAATACTACGAAGAAACTAAGCGATAATAAGATTATTATCGTTAAGAATACGACTTAGCTCTTTAAGATCTTACGTTATATTAGTTATTTTACTTAATTAGCTACTTAATTAACTACTTAATCTAATATTCTATAAAAGAAGAAGTAAGAGAAGAAATTATAATAGATAAATGTGGAGAATATTACGGAGAAACTAAGCGGTAATAAGATTATTATCGTTAAAAATACGGCTTAGCTCTCTAAGATCTTACGTTATATACTCTTTATAATTATATATTAAATTATTACTTAGTAAGCGAAGAATACTACTATAACTTAGTTTATTATCTCTACTATATTAGTATATATAAAAGAATAAGATAGAGCTAAACTAGAAAATCTTAAATTTATATATATAGTTAATTATTAATTCGAGTTCGCTACGCTCTTTAATTAGATCGACTAAATTAGCCTAATAGCCCTCTTATATCTTTCTTATTAAAAATTTATATATAGAAGTTTTATACTTTAAAGTACTTAGTTTATAATATATATAGTTATTTTATAATTTCTTAAATTATAAAGCTTACTTTACGCTTTCTAATGCTATAAAAATTATAAAGTTTAATCTACTATTAATAAATTAAATAAATATTTAAATATAATAGTTATAGTAATTATATTAAATACGTTCAAAATCGAATAATAATTCTTTCATCTATTTATATAATTATTCTTCTTTTATCGTTTTATTAATTCTATTAATTTTACTAATATAAATATAATCGTCTTTAATACCTCTCGTCTAAAGATTATTTAATATTTAAAGTATATATACCTCTTTACTCGCCTCTTAGAGCTTTTATTAATATCTCTAGACGATATTATCTCTTAAGATATATCTTTCTCTTTAATCCGTTTTTTATTATTCTATTTTAAAGTCTCTTAACGTATATTAGATTCTAAATATTATTAAGAAGAAGCTTTTAAATAAGAGAAAGACGATATAAAAGACTCTCTATTACGAGACTTATTATTAGACTTCTTTAATAATAACTCTTTCGATAGTCTATATCCTTTTGACTTATCTTTTAGTCTTTATTTAGATTCTATTTAATCTCTAATAAGGCTCGCTAGCTATATCGCGTATTATCTATATATTATTCATTTATAAACGCGTTAAAAGACTCTTAAAAAGAGTCTAAACGGATTTATAGCTATTATTCTCCTCTATATACTTCTTCTAAGTTAGCGATACTTAATTAATCGCTTAATTAATACTATCTACTTTATTAGCTTAGTAATTTACTTAGTTAGATCGTTAGCTAATATATTAATTATCTATTTAATTAATTATTTAGCTAGTTACTTAATTCAATACTCTATAAGAGAAGAAATAAAAGAAGAAACTATAATAGATAAATGTAAAGAACTTTACGAAGAAACTAAGCGATAATAAGACTCTCAGCACTAAGAATATAACTTAGCTCTTTAAGATCCCACGTTATATATTCTCTACGATTCTATATTAAATTATTATTTAATAAGCGAAAAATACTACTATAACTTAATTTATTATCTTTACTATATTAAGAAGTAAGAGAAGAAACTATAATAGATAAATATAAAGAATACTATAAAGAATACTATAAAGAATACTACGGAGAAATTAAGCGATAATAAGACTCTTAGTATTAAAAATACGACTTAGCTCTCTAAGATTCTATATTATATACTCTCTATAATTCTATATTAAATTATTACTTAATAAGCGAAGAATATTATTATAACTTAGTCTATTATCTCTACTATATTAAGAAGTAAAAGAAGAAATTATAATAGATAAATATAATGAATACTATAGAGAATACTATAAAGAATATTACGAAGAAATTAAGCGATAATAAAGCTTTTAATATTAAGAATACGGCGTAGCTCTTTAAGATCTCATATTATATACTCTCTATAATTTCATATTAAATTATTACTTAATAAGCAAAGAATATTACTATAACTTAATCTATTATTCTTATTATATTAAGAAATAAGAGAAGAAATTATAATAGATAAATATGGAGAATATTACGAAGAATACTATAAAGAATACTACGAAGAAATTAAGTAATAATAAGATTCTTATTATTAAGAATACGACTTAGCTCTTTAAGATCCTACGTTATATACTCTCTACGATTTTATATTAAATTATTACTTAGTAAGCGAAGAATACTACTATAACTTAATCTATTATTCTTATTATATTAATATAATATATTACTATAATAACGTTATAAGAGAAGAATCTACTATTATAATTAATTAGATCTCTATAGAAGAAATATCGAATAATATATATTTAAACGAATTAAAATCATTCGATATCTATAGCTATTTTATTATTCGAAAGATTTTACTACGATAGAAGATATTATAGAATTCACACTACTAATTAATATATTATCTTTATTTCTTTTCGATATTTCTGTTAAAATATCAGGTATGTGATGTGTAGAACGGACGGATTAATTCTTTAAAACCTCTCCGGGACCAGATCCTAAATACAGTACAAAATCAGATGGCTGGAAAACATGGTGGCTGGGATGCGCGGGGGCCACATTTCAACAATTTCGATAC